CACTAAGAACGTTACGACAAAAGACATCAGTGCGAAGTTTTAAAAAGACCTTAGGGCAATTTTTTCTAGCAAACCAACAGAGTTAGAATCATTTTATTGTTTAATAGGTTCCTTTTTATAGTTTCCTGACTCTGTCATTTCATCCTGGAGATCTACTTTATTTTAGAGGTTATCATAGGATTTTTAATTTTTTTAACTGTTCTTTTATTTCTGTTATGGTATATTTATGTTTAATTATTGATATCTATATTTGTGTTAGTATTATTATTAGTCATAACCATTACAATTTCCTCAAATGTGATTGGTAATTTGCTGCTCTATTTTTCACTTATCATTCTGTGGTGTAATTGGGCAATGTAATTGGACAATGTAATTAGACAGTTGGCTATAATTGGACACCTGTACTGGATAGTTGAAGTAGTCAATCATACTAAGTCCACCCCACCAAATCCACCAATCACAGAATTAAACACAATAACCAAAGCAACGGGCACTTATCCTTAAAAAAAGTTGAGGAATTTCCAAAATTTAGAAATATTTTCACTTTAGACAATGTCTCTACTGGAGATATTTGACTCAAATATATTTTTTTGTTTTTGGTAATTAAAACAGTTATGATTAATTGGTAACAGAACTTCTTGTCATCCAATTCTGTCTGTCTGTTATCATGATTGACTCCTGATTGACAAATTGGACTCCTGCTTTGTGGTTGTCCAATTTTGTTAATCACTTGTTTGATTACAGAGCGAATTGGACTTCACTCCGTCCTGTTACTATTATGTAATATTTGATACATGACTATTGGTTATATCAGTGTAATTCTTGTCTACAATTTGATGATTGAATGACAAATTGTCTGAGAAAGGCTTTTGAATAAAGAATCGAAGAAACTGATATTAAAATTTAACCCTGGGTTAATGCTAATTGGTCTTTAAACAACTAGTCTCCTCAGGTGTTTAGCAAAAACCATTTACCTCTGAAGAGATACTTGGTCTACTGAAAAAAGGATTGCCATTCTTTGGTTTGTTGCAAGCAAAAAAATGAAATGAAAAAAAAACAATAATGATAATTGTAGCAACAAATGATATATTTTAATTTCATCCCTGTGTTGATAAGTTGTGTTGGATATGTTGACTTCCATATTAGGGTATAATTGGTAATGGTTTCTTGATGCAGAATTACAACTCATATTTCACACACCCTATACATGCATAGGTATGGGCTTATCATTCCATCCAAGAAAACTACATGCAAACCTATGATGAAGAAACCAGCTGTGTTTGGTGATGATTCCAGTGATGATGAGGTAATTTTACCCTAATAACCTTACAGATCTTGTTTATGATCTTCATATACACTGAAACTAGGAAGAAACTGGCAGAAATAGAATTCTTAAAGAATTCTCTCTCTACTAGTTAATTTATGCTTTCAACACAGCATCATACTATGTAGATGAGAAGGAATGCTCATCCTCACATTTTATTCAGAGTAAGCTATAAAATTTGTTTCAGGAAAGAGCTCACAAAGAAGTGAATTTATCCCTAATTCAAGAATCACAAAAGAAGAAGCAAATGAAACAGGTGACTAATTAAAGAATAATCATTGCATAATTTATGATTGTCCTTTCTCTATGGCCAAAATAGCTCTAGGTGTAAATGTGTTACTGATGGATTGTTCCTTCACCATCTTGTTGTCAGTGGAGACCATGCAGTAAAAGTTTAGATATTTTTATCTTTTATTTCTGAGTATCCTCATTGACATGATGTCCTTACCCTTATTAGTCACTGACAACATGAACAAGAGTTTCTTTCTATTTCTGAGGCAAATTTCAAGGAGTGAATTTGGTTAACAGGGAAATGTTTCCCCCTAATGTAAACCTGACAGTTCTAGTTTTAGATTAACAGTGTCATGTAACTGTTTAGACTCAGATTGAAATACAGAAAGCTTTGAAAGAAGATCCTACTGTGTATGAGTATGATGCTGTCTATGAAGAAATGGAAGAAAAAAAGAAAGCTGCAAGTTTTAAAGTTCCAAAGAAAGATAAAAAGGTACAAAATGTGCATATGTACAATAGCTGAAAAGATCCTAAAATATTATCTGTAATTTGATCCTGTTAACCAGTTGTAACTATGTAAACATACATGATGTTAGGGTATAAACCATAGACTGGGGTACTAGAACTCATCTACATCTAACAATTATGATAAAAAGTACACCAGATTCCCAATGAATAGATCCTTTTTTGAGTGCTAGGCATGGTAATTTGTATTAATTTTATGGATTGCATCACCTCTCCTCTGCTGAAAAATGTTGGGGGGGGGGGGAGGTTTCTAGCTATGAACATCATCCCATACAGGAGAGGGGATGGACACTCCTAATGAATTCATTTTACCAAACCCTAAATATTCTGTTTAAATACTTAGCCCAAGTACATTGAGAGCTTGTTGAAGGCTGCAGCTGCTCGGAAGAGGGAATTTGAAAGGACAGTCGAGCGACAAGTACAAAAGGAAAGAGAACAAGAGAAAGGAGAGTTTGATGATAAAGAAGCTTTTGTTACTGAGGCGTATCTTTTGAAATCTTCACTCAACCTAAGAACTTCTTTGTTGTAATTGATTTAAAATTAGTTGTTGTTGTCCAAGAGCTCTTTTTGGGGTAATATCTCAGCTCAGCTCAGCTCAGCTCAGGCTTTAAATGGCACTAGGAAATGTTGGTTACTCAAGAAAGTAATACCTTAGCTAAGGGATTTGGAATAAGATGACTAGTATTCCATCCAGGAGGAGAAAAACACTTTCAGTATCCACATACTTGTTGCACCACCTTAACATAAATATGAACAGATTCCGTAAGAAAATGCAAGAACAACTTGAGGAGGAAGAGAGAATCAAATGGCGAGATGCTATTGATGGTGATTTGAATACTTCTTTTTGCATAATTTTCTTGCAGTGGTTAAAGTATATACCTCTAAACCCAAAATTGAATCATCTTGCAATGGAGGTGTAGCAAACCATCACAGACTGCTGAGTCATTCTCTTCTGTGCATGGAGAGAAGTGGTGATTGATATGAATAGAGAATGATACATGGTTGATGGTAGATATGGAATTTCTCTTCAAGTGTTTAACTCAATAGCTCATGAGTGAGTGCAGCAAACAAGTGAAATGTAGAGTTGAACAAGAAAGAGAAATTTCATATCTACAAACAACTATGTATTGTTTTGTTTATCATAAAAACACAATAGCCCTTTACTGATAAGAAAAGTCCACTTAACTGAGGAATGAAAACAAAGGAATAGCATTGGCACAAAGGCTCAAGATGAAAAAATGCATTGAAACACACTACAAAAAGAAACAATCAGCAAAATTTTCAATATACAAAATTCTTAGTCATTGACTTGGTCCTTACTGACAGGAGAAATCTTTCAGGTACATGGCCAAAATCGGCCTGCAGCAAATCTTCTAGTTGTTGATGTTTGTTTTTATATGCAAGAAATGCCATTACCAAAGCCTCTGTGGCTTTGGTTTTTCTTTCCATATTTTGGTTTTCTTCCCCCTCTTCCATCTGTAAGCAATATGGATTTCTCAGTGTTTTAGCAGCCATAATCCAAAAAAACTAGGCAAATGACCTTGGATTTAGAATGGTGAGGGCGTCACTGTTCATTCATGAACCTGACTGAGTGGCGCAAAAGGCAAGTGACATGTCAGCAGCTGATTAGTGATATCAAACACACATGAAAAAATACAATATTTTTTCATGTGTGTTGTAACAGTTTGTCTAAGGGCTGGAAATCCTTGTATAACACTGTAGTTTATATGATAAAGACTATTTTGGTAATCATACCCTTAAAAAAGGTTTGTTTGGCTGACTCACAAACTGACTGGCTTGCTGGCCAGCAGACTGACTAATCAACTGAAAAACCAATTAGACCACTTACCAAGACTAAAAGCAGTACCTCCCTAACAATGATAGTCAAAGTTGAATGAAAGCAGAAAAACATTGAATTCCAAATTTTAAAGTGCTAGTTAAGTTGGCTGAGATCAAATGTTGGCACATGAAGGTGACCCGTCTCTCATCTTCTCAACAAGGCTAAAATCAGAACACAAGAAATCACGGAGCACTATGTCTTGCTTTAAGGGAATAGTGTGGGGGTTCTTCTAGTGTTTGTGTGGCCATCATTTATTCTCTCATGGAACATTTTGAATCATGAACTAAACTAGCAAAGAGGGATTGCTGGTTGTCAACTAACTGGCCATCTGACTGGATTACTGTTGAGGTATTTGGCTTATTGGTGGAATGAATTAGAGTGAGTTTCGAAAGAGAGAGTGACTTACTGACTTGCTACCTGGTTGACTATCTGGAAAACTAATGACTAATTAATCAAAGATATTCATAATTGAATGATTGATGAACTGAGTTACAATACTTGTACAAGCTGGCTGCCAATCTCTTTTACAGTTGTTCTTTGTGACAATATTCCATTGAAAGGAGACCACATATGACTGGCTGAATGATTTATTGGCTGCTTAATTGAGTTATTTTTTCCTTTCAGCTGCCAATGATGTCACAAAGCAGAAGGACCTAAGTTTGTTTTATCGCAATCTTCTGAATCAAAACATGTCACTGGGAGGATCATTTACTGCCAAAGATACAACAAAGATTGACTTGCCAAACATGGAAAATGACATCAGAGAATCTCAAGGAAAGGATGAAAGGGCACCTCAAGAAATGTCAGACAGTAGAAAGAAAGAAAAACACCGAGATAGAAATGAGAGTAAATATTTAAGAGATCAAGGATTAGAAGAAAACCCAAGACATACAAGAGTTCCTTCCCAACATGTGAGTATCCATGATCACAATAATCACAAACGAAAGGACAACGAGAATGACAAAGTTCAACATTCAGCTGATTTGTTAAACCAGAAACAAAGAAGGTGCAGTGATAGGGAGCATGAGAAATTGGGGATTCACAGACATTCCAGTGGCTTCAAACCACATCAATCAGGCCATGATGATAAGAAGAGTGCTGACAAACACATCTATTGTAGAGAGTATTCTCAGGATGACATGAGGGCACTAGACAAGAATAAAAAGAAAAGTGAGAAAGTTGCCAAAGAAATCAAAGAAACATTGAGAGAGGAGTCTCTTAGCAAATTTGCCAAGCGCAGCACAGGTGAAACTGTTTCATCTGCTAAAGAGCGATATCTGGCGAGGAAAAAAGCACGCAATTCTGCTAAGAATGCAACTGCCTATGATGACAGTGATGAATAGTTTTTTATAACTCAGAAGTAAAACTGATCTTTGCAAGGTTTGACTGGTACAATTTTTGAAATGGTTAAAAAAAACTGTGAAAATCTAGCAATCTTTCTCTTGGAATTAAGTCTTTGGTTGTATATTGAACATCTAAATGCAATAAAATGATAGCTAAAAATTTATGGTTTTGAAATTGTTACACTTGTTTTGCTGGAAAGCAGTGCAAGAGGATTTTCACAAAGCCAGTTACCCTGCTTTCAGAGTTTGTTGGTCTTCTAACAAAGAATCCCAGTGAATATTTGAGTCCTCATCAGAAGTACTGATAAATCTTCATCAAAAATATGTACTGTTTCTCTTCCTAGGTGTTCAGTTAGTAAAACAGAGCAAAATAGTAAACAACACAATAATAGTGGTGGAGTGAAAAGCAAGGGAGGTTTTGGCTAATCCAACCCAACCCAAAAACTTGCTTTTTGCTCCTCCTCTGTGATCATGTAGGTTACTATTCTGCTGCATTATACTAACTGGATCAGGCTAAGTCCCTTAAGTTTCTGTATAATAAATATTCTCAATGGAAAATGGAAAACTTTGACCCATCTAATGCACTGTATATTCAATATCAACAAGGCAATTAAATCTTGTTACAGTGAAATGCTTGGAGGAAAATTTAAACTAGCACAACACATAAATATTTGTATCAATTTATTTGCCATGTAACTTTTTTTATTACACATTAGACATACTTTGAAAAATCTTATCAGCTATGCAAGTCAATCTCATTTGTATGCATCATCCTATGGGGGGCCTTTCACTGTCTGGTATATTACAGCTTTACATCAATACATGATATCTTGCTAGACCAATGTTACCAATTCCACATGAGAGGAAAATTGAACTTTGTAGTTGGCCTGAAGATTAGGCATAATTTTGGCAGGCAAGTACTCAGTAGTATCTAAGTGAAAAATTATAGCTGCCATCTTTGATTTTTACAGCAGAGGAAGGCTGGGGAGAGAAAGAAATTTGCTTTATGGAGGGAGGGGGTGAGCAACAGTCAAAAAGAGAGAGAGAGGGGAGGGGATGGGATAACTAATATTTTGCCTTTCTCTGCTTCCTTCCCTTAAGGTGGACTCTAATGCCATATCAAACATGGGTAGTTGTATAAACCAGCTTCTAAATGTTAACTTGTCCTGAAAAAACACCTCCAGTGCAGGTTACTTTGTAGTCCCTAATTTATTTGTTTGCATTTCTTCCCAAAACTGAATTGCAGTTGTTACTTCTTCCAAGGGAGATTATCGAGGTCTACATTGCCACCACACAACACTACAGCAACATTCCTCAGGTTAGGAAGTGCTCTGAATCTCTCTGACAAAATGGCTGCCACACCTACAGCTGCTGATGGCTCAATAAGAAGCTTCATTCTTTCCCACAGTACCCTCATTGCAGTTATGATTTCTTCTTCTGTGACCGTTATGACGTCAGTTACTTTGTCTTTAATGATTGGCCATGTTACATGGCCTACACTTGTCCTCAATCCATCTGCTATAGTACTAGGAGGGCCTGTAAAGACACAGAGGGCTTAAGCTCATTGTTTTCATTGGTAAATCTGTAATGTATTGTCATTACTTGGCTGACCAAAAATACATTACTCGTCTGGAGAGAGCTATTTCTCTGGAGAGAGCTATTTCACCAAAAAACCTAAACCCAATTAATCTTTATATTTGATTTCTGGACAAGATAATAACAATGATGGCAAAGAATCCTCAAAACACCAAGAATTGCTAGATGCCATTAGCAAGGCATAAGAGGTATTCTTTTTTGTTGTAGAGACTTAACATTTAACATGTTTTCATTTCCCACAGATTAGCACTCTTAGTTGACTGTTAGTATTTTTCCCCTCATGCAGCTGTTAAATCAAAGAATACCTATGGCCAACTTGTGCATTAAGTACTTAAACTAGAGATAAAACAGGGTTGTGAACTTGTAATTACTTGTATTGCAGCAATGCAAGGTTGCTCTTATCTCAAAAGCAAAGCTTCCAGAAAATCACATACAAGTATGGTAACTATCCAACTCTGCAGAATAATAAATGCAGATGGCATCTAAAAAAACTGTCAACAGTCTGTTGCACAACCTAACAGTGTGTCACCTGGTAGGTTACAGGTCCATTAAACTTAGAATGCCTGTGTTGCCAATGACAACATGCCATAAAAAGGAATGTAAATAATATTGACAAAGAGGCTTAAAAACAAATACCCATACCCTCAACTTAATTTTTTTAAAATTTTTTGTCCATATATATTTTATCACTGAATTAATTACATGTACACGTCAATGACTCTTGAAATCCTTAGCTATTCTAATGCTTTAAAATGCTCCTTTGGCCCATGCATGATATTGCTATTTTCTTCCAGCTTTTGCCACCTTCCTGCAACTTTCCAAGTAATTATGCTGATTTGATCTCTGTGCTCTGGCTTTTGGTAGCCATTGTTCAATCACATTATAGGATTTCTCTCATAGCTGCGTTCAACAAAAGCTATGAAAGAGATTATTGGGAGACTACCCTCTTGTTACATTTGGATCTGCACTTTACAAGCATGGATTGGGGTGTGAAATTGACCAATAAGATGTGAATATCAATAGGCGAAATTCCTGTATTCGAAAATGTTTACATCTGTATACTAAAAGCAAGCAGTCCCTTACATGCCAAAATATTACTAAATGGGGCAGATGCAAGCTCAATTTTTTTAGAGGATCTTTCATTCAAAAGCATGAAAAGTTTAATATCTGACAGAACATTGGGAAGCTAATATCGCTAGACAACACAACTTGTCACTCTTGGGGGATGTAGGATTCCACTTATCACAGCATCAGCCAACAAATCCAAATCATAAATATCACAAGCATTGATTCAGTCTGGGATCTGTTTTGACTACAACTCAAAACACCATACCTTGAAGTGGAATCCTTTCATTTGCAGCAAATGACTTAGCACAGTCATCAGCATTTGCAGGTTCAGCTGCATAAATTTTTATATCAGGCTTCAATGCTTTGACAGCTATAGCAATCCCACTCAGCATACCACCACCACCAACTGGGACAATTATTGCATCCAAGTTTGGCACCTATGGACCACATAAACCATAAGTTAAAGAGATCGCTCTTGAGTACAGTGAAGCTTAAAGATAAGGGGTCCAAATTATGTGCATTCACACAAATAGAACAAGTCTAAGACCAGACATTGACTTTAAGAGGTTGGAGACCTTGATTGCAGGATCTGTTCACTCTGTTCCCTTGACAATAAATTGTTTTTTGTTTTCTTTAAAACAAATTTAGCAATCATTCCAGTGCTTTAGTGCATTACCCCAATGGCATGACAAGAGACTTTTTTGAGAGAACTGTTCATAGTCGCACATAGTCTGGTCACCTGTGAAAATTTCAAGTTGCATTGAAATCAAGGTAGTTTTTTGAGTTGCCTAGAAATCAGGGTTGTTTTCAAAATGTGTCAGAAATGTTCTTTGAAATCCAGGCTGATATGAAGGTTGATTTCAAAATGCATCAGGATCCTCCTTTTATGTCTACTGCAACTGATCACTGTTCATGAACCATTTCATTCTTAACATTAAAGGAAAGAATAACAGATTCCAAATAAACCTGTTTCCATTGACATTTTCATAACTGTTTTACATGTCATCTAAACATGTTTTTAGACTAGTCTGTTTACAGACTCAGACAGGTAAGACAAGCGTATGGCACTAGTGTGTGATGTCTCCTTATCTTTGAGCTGTACTGTAGATTTACATAGAAAAGTTGTGTTGTATACTGACTGTCTTGTGTGAAGTGTACCGTGGCTGTGGGATTGATATTAGAGAGAGGCAGTGAAAGGGAGATTATCTAAATCACACAATTTCCAAAACATTCCCTGTTGTATCCAACACTAATATGTAGACATATTATGTCTATACTAGCCGCTACCAGTATCTCTCTAGTCAAGTGAAGCACTGACAAGGAATGATTGCTAAATTTGATTTAAAGAAAACCAAAAAAAAACTAATTTTCAAGAGAACAGAGTGAACAGATCCTGCAATCAAATTCTCCAGCCTCTTAAAATGGTTCACATGAATGTACTTCATTGTAGCCCTCTTGACAGACGGCTTGCAAATTAAGTCCCACTGCTCTGGAAAGTTTACCAGCAAATGAATACATTGTAGAAAACTGCATAAAAGAAAGGGACCAAATAGGAATAATCTTGAACAACACCATGAGTGAGCAAAACAAAACAAATAATGCCAAAAAAAAATGGCTGGTAAGTTGACCTTAAATATCACAGCTAGAAAATAATTAATCCCTGGTCAATTTCAATTAACACCAATCAAACACACAAACAAATAAACTGACAAGCAGGTACATGCTGGGCTTAGCTTAATCATTAATAACATCAAGTAAATATAGGGTTAATTAGTGAGAAAAAAATGAAGGGCAGTAATTAGAAAATAATTATAACTACCAATTGCTTATAACTACAAAAGAACTTTAATTACAATTTCACAAATCTGCTCAATACTACAAAGACCTGTTCCAATATTTCCAGACCAAGAGTACCCTGACCAGCAATAATGTGAGGATGATCAAAAGGAGGTATAAGATAGGAATTACTAGTCTCTCGAAGGATTCTTTGAGAAGTTGCTTCCCTGTCCTGAAAAAAGGCATACAAAGTTAATTGTTGCATTTGGTCCTTGTTTGTTTGGTTTACCAGTTGGGAGAAAATTGTTAGGACATACCACAAATGTGAGCTGATAAGTGGGTTAAAACTTTTTATTCAGGATTTAAAACTCCTGGAAAATGATTGGTACAATTACACATTAATTACAACATACTTAGGTCATTCTGTGGATATTTTCTTTCGAATAAATTATTTACATTTTCAACTATGCATTTTGATTATTTCTGAGAATGACAATCAAAAAGCCTAGGATTGCAAATGTTCTGTTTCAGAAAATTTGCATTGACTCTATTTTCCCAGAGTCTTTCTTTCTGCCTGGAAGTGGAGATGTAAAGAAAGGAACTGAGATAGTAGGGTGTCATTCATAATTGAATGTAATCTTTTCCTAATTCCTAGTTACATGTCTTTTCTTTACCAATGATGTACCTCAGCTGATGTACCACAGTCAACAATAGTTGCACCATATTCTCTTACTGCAGCCTTCTTAACTGAGGGAGCATTTATTGGCATAGCAATAAAAGCCTGCAGTCCCATGATTTTTGATGACAGAGCAATTGCTTGAGCATGGTTTCCACTACTGTGAGTCACCAGCACAGGTCTTTGATCATCAGGCAGAGAATTCAACAACTGAATAACAGCATTCATTGCCCCTCTAATCTGAAAAAAATACTCTTTGTTAGACAATTTCTTGAGATATTAGAACTATCTCCTCCAGGTCCCACAGTCATTTGCTATTTTCTCCTATTTGTATATTACACCAACCTTTAGTTGTAAGTATCAAATTGTTTGGTTTTATTGCATGACATTGCCATAGTGAAATTCTTGACACTGTTAATCTTATGATGAAGACTTCAAATGGGAGAATTTGGTCACTGTGTTGTGAAAAGTATCAGGCAACACACATTTCTCCCAAATGTACCTTATTCTTTGAAAACGTTTGCAAATTTGTTTTAATTCACAAACTGAATCCTTATTTCCTAACACTTGAAGAGATCAAAGATAACTTACATGTACTTATGAGATGCACATAATGGCTCTATTATATGTTGTGATTTAAATCCCTGAAATTACTTAGTATTGAAATCTCACAAATTATTCAAAATGAGTGGGTCTGAGTCTTAAAGACATAAAAATATATGATTTTTAGGGTCTGGGGCTTTTTGAGGTAACAAGGGGTATGAATTTTTAGGGGTGTCTGAGTTTTCATTATATCTCGGGTATGATTCTTTTGGGGGGTCTGAGTTTTCAAGATATCCCTGATATAAGTTTAAGGGGGTCTGAATTTTCAAGATATCCTGGGTATAATATTAAGGGGGTCAAGTTTTTTGAGGGTCAAAGGTCTGAGGTTTTTTCAAAAATATTCTTTTACACCATTTTTGAGCAAACTTGAGATTTGAGCCCTGTGCAAACTCTTGCATAGTTCTAAGCTTGTATCCTGATAGTCTCTGGACTGACCAATAGCCAAAATTGGATGACCTAACCTCTTCATAAAGGGGAATTATGTAAATCCATAGATTAGAGTCATTTCCTTCATCTCTCCTTCCTGAGCAACTTCAAAATATAATTATTAGGATACTTTCAAAATAAGTGGAAAAGATGTTACTCGTTAGATTACATTTCAATGTCCTACTTAAAAGTCTTTTACATAGGAAGACATTTACCTTGAAAGCTCCTATTTTTTGGAAGATTTCACACTTAAAATGAACTGCTCTGCCAGCCATTCTGTCAAGAGTTGAGGATGTCATCACTGGCGTTTTGTGTACATATGGCTCAATTCTTTTTGCAGCATCTTGAATGTCCTGTATCTTCACTTCAAAATTTGACAGCATTCTGTGTAATTAACATGTACTTTGATCAGTTTTCCAGCTTCTGTCCCAGAAAATGGAGCTGCAATTAAGCAATGACCTTTGTTACTATGATGTACACCTAAAATAAAATTTTTTCAGAGTTGAATAGGGTAAGTTTTTTTCCTGAGAATACCTCATGGAAAAAAAAATTGCCCAGAGATTTCTGAAGAACTTCAAAGTTTTTGTGGAAAGCATTCACACTGGGATTTTTACATCAATTGTCTTGGTGCTCTCAATTTATTTTCAGAGATGTGTGATTAAACAGCAAACAATTTTTTTAATGCATAGTTAACAGGTGGGCAGTCACAGGCTAGCATGAGATAATGGAGTTTGGTATACTACTGAATGCAAATTGTCATAGCAACTCAGTCTAAACTTTTACTGCAAGGAGAGATGGAATTATCTGAATACATATTGAAAAATGAAGACCAGTCATGCGTGCCTGTGGACAGCCTGAAGAAACGAAGGCAATACTGCTTGTTTCACCTCTCCACTGCCTTTATTTTCATTGAGTACCCAAAAAACCCCCTGGTTCTGAAAGCTACATGTATGGTCAGATTAACAAATACTGGTAGTTTTTATGTTTGTTGCCAAGTGTCTCTTCTGTAAGTCATGTAGATCACACATCAGAGATGACATCAAAATGTCATAAGAGCTACAGTACCGCTTGCATATATGTTAACTGAAAAACATGGATCCGGAATGCAAACCCACACATGAATGCTTATTTCATAGTGTTTGTCATTGGTGAACATGCTGTTCTCAAAAACTGGTTCATTCATCTCATCCTTTATACAAAAACTAATAAGTGCTACTCTCTTAATTTAATGGTGTTGTGTTACAGTATGATTACTTGTCACGACTGTGTCTTGCTCTAACTCATATGCAATTTTTTTTATGAGAAACCAGATTTGCTTTTTATTTCGATATTTGTTGAATCATCGATCAATGTTCACCAAATTGCTCGAAAAAATGGAACGGAAAAATGAACTGCAGGATACATGTAGTTCAAGTTTATTTAAGACTCACCAGCGCGTGCAACTAGGCAAAACATCAAGACGGCAATAATCGAACTTGTGTAGTTCAACACAGTAATCAGTGAAGAAATGTAAAATGGTTTCCGTGTTTACATAGCCTGATGTAAACACGCGGGAGGTTGGGAGAACATGAGACAAGCATAGGAAACCATGACGCGAAGTGGAGTGGTTTCCAGCTTATCGAGTGTTCTCCCAACCTCCCAAGTGTTTACATCAGGCAATGTAAACACAGAAACCATTTTACATTTCTTTTTTAAAATAACTAATGAAAGAAGAACGAAATCCGTGTTTACATACACTCATGTAAAATGGTTTTATAGCCAATCAGAGCGCGCGTACTATTTGAATAATTTTATAAAGAATTTTGTAAAATTGGTGGCTCCTAGAGGAGCCGTTTGTTTATTATGGAAGCTTTTAGTATCCCGAAGCTCTTCCTTCACGTTGGACTACGGCCGGAATAACTTTCCGGAGGTGGCTAATATATATTTGCACGATTTACATCACGAGTAATGCGAAATGAAACTGTTTACATTCCGGTGTGTAAACACTGAAGCGGGCGCCGATTGCAATGAATAAAACAGAACACCATTCACATTCTTAAAAAGTGTATTTTCATTCAGATCCTCACCGAAGATGATCGAGGTAGGTTTGAAGTTTCGAAGAAATCATAACCTGCGATGCAAACACCAAATTGTTTACATTCCGCGACGTAATCATCTTAGGGAGCGCTGATTGCAATGAGTAGTTGAGAAGTATATTAGTGAGTATTTGTCTCGTTACTTGAAAAGCGTGTTTCGAAGCCTTAAGTAAGTGACATTTTCCTTCCCCCAGCTGATTCATCAACAACTCAAATCAAGCAAATCTACTGCTACTGCTCGTTATGCGAAAAATTCGCGAAGCGACGCGACTTGTGCGAGTGTAACATGATAGCTTTTTTCATTATGTAAATTTTCCGTTGTCTTCTCGCCGCTTTTTCAAGCCTTGAAGTCCTTTGTTTCGTACAACAATGAAATACAAAAGAAACTTATAGCACTGAATAACAAAGACACGTGAATCGCGCATTTTTTTCGACCGTGCGCGCAAAACAATCGTATATACGCGTCTGGCTACCTTGCGTCGGAGCGCATGAAATTCGTCTGCGCAGTTGACGTATACGCGGGCGGTACTGTAGTAAGTGGCTCACGAAGCACAGCTGAGTGTGTCACTGATCAGTGATGTTTTACAAAATTGTGATGTCGTCTATGGTCTATTACTGCACAGAACCACTGCAACATAGAATCCACATGTACCAGTATTAAAGGAGCAAAATTTAGCGTTGTAAGTGGTGATATCATCTGTGTATATTTCAACAGGGGATGTATAAGAACCAATTAAAATACGTGTATGACTCAGCTTATTTTATAATACAGTAAGGCTCACATCACACAAGCTGACACGGACTAAAAAAAGCTTACTCTAAAATAATTATTCAGCTTTCTACTGTTACCTGCTAAAACTTCGACATATAATGGGATGTCCTTCAAATGATGAATGTCCTTCAAATAGCATTAGTAATAGTGCTATCGCTGGGTTGATAAGCCGCTGGCCAGTTGTATTTAATGCTCGCGCTATCACATGTTCAAACAACATGGCGACTTTTAGAAAGCATTGTTAAGAAAGGACTGTCAAAAAATCCGTCCAAAACAAATTCAGTGAAAAGCACTTAGCTTAGATTTAAGACTAGTATGAAACGATCGCAACCAGATACGTCAGGGGAGCCCCCAACGAAGAAGCCGGTTCAAACAAAGTTGATTCCTTCGGTAAACATCGGATCTGTTTCCACCGAGGTGGGTTGATTCATGTTGGCTTTTTACTTTTCCTTCACAGTACGTTTTGTACGGTCATGTTGTGTGACTTTTGATAAATAAATTTACCCTAGGTATTGATGTAAGATGGCAATTTCGTAACAGTTAAGCATGTTATATATATGGTCAAAACACTGTGACACTTAAAAGCCACCAACTGTTACTTGACATGATTGTAACTAAGGACGTTGCCTACATTTAGTATTGGGGATCTAATTGTACCCGGCCGATGGCTAAGTACGTAAAGATGGTCTCGTCAAGGGTTATCAAAATCCAAACAGAAAATAGTCATATAAGGTATTACTACAGGATAAAAGACCACTTTAGAAGATATTCCACTGAGGTCGTTTGATGAATTACTTTCGTTCCAAGTTTAGGTCAAATTGTTCTGAAATATCGTCACATCATTCCACTACTAAGCTTATTGTTCGAATTCTAAAATAGCAAACCTTGCTGGAATTGAGGATGGATTTTTCTTTTTCAATTTGTCAGAGATGTGACTTGAAGTGTCATAAATGCCTTCTTGTGCATTGCGTTTGTATAATAATTGACAAATTCATCAACATGTAGTTGTGACATGTTTCGGGGCCATGAAAAATGCTGTGCTTGCCCAATGCTGTGTGCAGGAAGTGAAATAAACAATAGCAGACGTGCATTCTCAAGCATTAATTGTTTTTTTTTATTTTTTTATTTTATTTTATTTTTTTTTTAAACAATTTTATTTACAAGACGATCACTTACACTACTTACAGTATTAATTACACTTACATTGTACTTGCTACTTACACTACTGATACTTATACTTACACTAATTATGCATACACTACATTACGATACATGTATTACAATACTATTAACATTAATTTAATTTACGGTTGGCGTGTTTACAAAGTTCTTTTCAATTAAAAGACAATCACAAGTAAACATACAGGTCTCAAAAATGCTACATTTCTTTGGATATTTACTTTTGATATAGCTTAAACAAATATTTATGAAATTAAGTATAAGTCTAACCTAAAACAACAGCAGCGTGAAAAATTAAAGTATAAAAGCCCACATGCGATAAAATTTCGGAAGTTCTATTTTTGCCGTCGCGATCTCTTTTAGGATTTCAAGTTTTCCCATGATGAACAGTAGGAAGATTTGAAAATCTAAGATGTCTCCACAAAGGCTTGTGCAGAAAATGTGATATTTGGCCAACAATAGGCAATAATTTAGGACTTGCCAATGCTTTGTCCTATAATGCCAGCCATAGAGTATATGACTTGTGGATAACGTTATTGTTTCATTTGTTTTTTGGTGCCACCAGTCTTGAAACAGAATCCAGAAGTCAAGTATTAGTGTGCAGTTTATTAATGGGTGATGCAACGTTTGTTTTTCTGTACTGCATAGGTTGCATAAGGGGCTCTCTGAAATGCCGTCTCAGTAAAGAGTGGCGCAAGTTGGAAGCACATTATGAATCACTTTATACTGAAACATTATTATTTTAACTTCGTTTGTAACTTTAAATGGCATAAGATAAATGTTCTTGATGGTAGTTTTTGTAAATCCGTGGCGTAGAATTTTGGTTTCGGTAGTGGGAGGAACAAAGACAGTGTTTAAAAGAGAAGAGTAAATAGAACTGGTTCTTAGGCTGTTTACAGTAGTGTTCGCGTGTGTGACGTTTGGAATAGGGTTTGTAAGAATAGCTTTCCAGTCTTTTGGGATTGCGTTGACCAAGCCATAGTATGTGGTGAAAGGCACATTTAAATTAAATTTTGTGACAAATTCAAGCCACTTCAAAAATTTCTGATTTTGGTTTAAAATGTCGCTTATCTTACGGGCGTCATAACAAGTTTGGTAAAAGACAGGTTTTTTTCCTATAAGAATTTTTCTGTTATTCCACACTATTTCGTTTTTAGGATTTGTTTTGGAATTGATGCCTGTTGAGATTTTAAACTCGCACCAATAATCTAACACTTTTTTGTAAAATGCATGAAGCTTATCATCGAGGTCTAGTGTGCTTGGTGTAAAGTTGCATTTTGTTAGAAAAGCAAGACCACCATGTTTGTGTAAGAGCTGGTTAGGAATAATTTTCCAGGAGGCTTGTGAGTCATCTTGAATTCTGTTGGCCCAAGCTATTTTGAGTGCTTTCTTCATGATATTAAAATCGCACATTTTCAAACTGCCATTCTTTCTTTTCTCCAATTATGGTGTTTCTTTTTATTTTAGGGGGTTTTCCTGCTCAAATAAAGTTGAAAGTTAGCTTATTTATTTCTTGGATATAGTGATCTGGAACAGGGAGCATGGAGGCTGAGTAAATTAACTTAGATATCCCAAGTGTTTTGACTATGTTTATCTTTCCATAAAGAGTTAGATTTCTCCGTTGCCAAGTGGTTAGCGTTTTCTCGTGATTACGTATTTTTTCACCGAAGTTCAGTCTATTAGCACTTTCTTGGTTATGAGAAAAAAAGACACCAAGGGCATTGACAGGTTCTTTTTGCCATTTAAAACCAAAGGGTTCATCTGTTCTGTCTTTCCATTCGCCTAACCACATTGCTTCGGTTTTAGTTGTGTTTATTTCTAGGCCAGAAAGTTCTTTAAACTCATTTAAAACCTTCAATAGACTCACTATGGAATTGAGGTCACAAACAAATACTGTTGTGTTGTCGGCATATTGACTTATTTTAAGCTCATGCTTGTTGACTTGGATACCTTTAATAGTAGGATCATTTTTTATGGCTTTAGAGAGGAGTTCTATGCCGAGAACAAAGAGGACGCCAGACAAAGGGCAACCTTGCCTGACTCCCCGCTGTAGGGAGAAAAAAGTA